CGTCGGGGACTTTTCATCTTGGCAGTTGATTTCATGGAGGAAGACCCACAGGGAATGATCTGCTGTGCTCATTAGGCCTAACACTCTGTGAAAATTGTGTTTTTCCTAAGAAAGAGTTTGAACACTACAATTTACTGACTATGACACAGACACATGTGGCAGTGGATTTGGAAGGTGAGAGATTTTTCTCTGTAGCTTATATGCATGCAGTGGAAAACAAGGAATGCTAGAGTCAAGGCAGATGTTACTTCCTTGTGGAGCCTTTGCAGAAGAAAATATGCTGTATGCGTTGATTGATTCTTAAAGAAATTACTGAAGTATTAGCTTACAAATATTGTAGGATTTTCTTTTCTTATATTACCCCTTTGGCCAAAAATATGTTATAATGCATCATTTTGATAAGGAATGGCAGGATTTGTTTTGTTTTGTTTTGTTTTTGCAGATGTAGCTATTTCTTTCCAATTGTCTCTCGCAGGTGCTTCTAGAAAATCCAAGTTTGAAATGGGATGCTCTACAAATTGACCCTAAGCAAATTATAAAAGGCTCCCATGCAGCACACCTTTGGGTCCCCTGCCTACCCCATCGCCTCCAATCGAGGGGCCAATTTTTGCTAACAGAGCAGTCTTTGTTGCCAGCTGAGAGAGAGCAATAAAAACTTTTAATGTAGGTAATGACAGCAGTGAGAATACTATTGGCCTGGAGATGGAAAGAGGATAAAGTTCCAACCAAAGAAGAGTGGATGATGATGATGGACTACACCGAAATGGCGAAAGTGACCGGGAGAATGAGAGACCAGGACGAGAAGAAGTTTGAGAGAGAATGGGAAAGATAAGCTGAAGATAAGTTGAAGAAAGGATAGATATGGAAGCCAGAGAGGGGCGGGGGGAAGTCAAGGGATTCTGGGAATCCAAATGTGAAGGTGAATGATATGCTTAAATTGAAATGTGTTATGAAAAATTGAATAAAAAAATTTCAAAAGAAAAAAGGAAATGGTAGCTCTGTGTCGTGAACACAGCCAGGTGTCACGCAAACCTCTGCACCACTTTCCCTCATGAAAAATCCTGTGGTTTAGTGCTGAATTGGAACAATCAGCAATCAGGTTTTTCTGCAGATTTCCTGGAAGGAAAGCAGTGGGCACTGGCGGAGGAAGAGGCGTGAGGGGGGAGCGCACTTCTCCCGGCAGCGTGAACCCGGCAGTGCGCCATCATGGCTGTCCCTCTGCACACGCTGGTGCCACGCCCCCATGATGTGCCCCTACGGGTGGTGCGCCATACCACTGGGATGCTCACCAGGCCCGCCCCTGCCTGCTCTCTACCCCCCCTGGTGCCGGAGCATGAAGCTCCACCACTGGCAGTGGGGCAAGGCAACACCAATCAGACCCGTGCCTGGAAAGGATGGTGCAAGTGGAAAACCACCTGGAACTGTGCTTTCCAGGCATGGGTCAAGTGGAAGTGTGTGTGGGGGGGATCCAGAGGTTTCCAAAATTATGACTGCCTGTGGGTGCACCACAAGCTCTCCAAACTATCTGAAGAAGTGTACATGCACACGAAAGCTCATACCCCTTGCAGCTCTTCTCCTGTCGTCTCCTCCTCCTCCTGGTCTCCTCCTTCAGACTTCTCCAGGAACACCACCAGGAGAAGCCTCACTGGTGGCACAGAACCCCAGAATTCACTAGCCCCTTCCCTGTGATGTCTAGAATAAAATATTGTGGTAGCCCAGGCAAGCCCTGCCCTGCATAATTGACTACATGATGCAGTGCACAATAGCAATGCCCATTAACTTGGGGGGGGGGGAGGCACCTCAAATATTTTATTGTGGGGGCCAAAGCCCCCACTGCTCCTAGGAATTAGCTCCTATGCCCCTTCCCTGTATCCTCCACCCAACTCCTCTGCGCCTGTCTCCTCTGCCCACACATCACCCCCTTTGGGGCCCTGCCCATCCCTGACACTCTGTGAGGGTAATTGAGGTGGGTCTTCTAATAACTTTCAGCCCCCTTAATAATCTATATTTCCCACCATTTTTGATGATACTGCTGTAAATGCTGCACCCCATTATACAAGACTCACCAGTACTGATGCTGACTCCATAGTAGAAGCAGTGATCCTCCTTATTTTTATAGTTGAGCCACACAAGTATCTGACATGAGGGAGAAGCAACTTGGGCCCTTGAGCCCGTTGGGCATCCTCTGCTCATACTCAGGCAATGTCAAACAACCCTTGCCGTTAGTCTGCTCAGCGTATTTCTTTTGCAGATGCAATCCACCTCTCGTTGTAGGTGAGTGGCGGGAATTGTACCAGCTTCCAGCATTTCTCCAAGTGCAGCGCTTCGGCCTCGCTCCATTCACTCAGGGCTACATTCCAAGATACAAAATGGTAGCCACCACACACACAAAATGGTGGACAATGTTCTACAAAACAGTCCTCTTTCTTAGGGAGATGTAATGATCTCAGGCAGGCAAACAAGCTCCGATAAGAATTAATAAGCCTCTTGGAAGATTTATGGTAAGTTTATTAAAAATTAACACACAGAGAGTGGCACGAGCCCGCCATTCTCGGCTAAGAATTGCCCAGTCTGTGTCCCTGCCGTGTACGCAACATGAAGGCCGACAATGTCCAGTCCTTCCCCTCTTGTCCTTCTGTTGCATCTTAACCCTTTCCTATCTCCTGCTTTGTGGAGAAAGTGGGCAGACTTCACCCCCACTCTCTAAAGAAGTGTACTCTGAATGCTGCTTTCCTCCAGGTTGCCTAGCAACTCCCCCCAAGGTCGTCTCCCCCTTCATTCCCAGACTGTGAGCTTCCTGGGTCTGCTGCTCTAAAATGTCTTGAAACTCTGAAGGGTGCAGGCTCAACTCACCCACTCTGGAGCTGACTGCGTTCTCTCAGTCTCAGAGTCAGACCTTTCCCAGTCGTCTGACTCTACTACATCCCTGGCAAATGTTCCCCCCAACAAATGTTGCATTTGGAAAAAACACACGATACAACATTCATTATTGGCCATATATATTTATATTGGACATGATTCAATGACCTCATTTGAACATGAAAGTCAAATACAACCTGTTGTTGAGGAGGAGCTTCTAGACTTCTGGCAATAAAGGCTGGGAGGCTTCAGGCCGAGACCTCCCCTGCTTCAAGCACAAGGTAGTCGATTTCCCTAAATTGTGGGTTCTTCCGGGAGTTGGAGATTTGCACTCTCTCCCAGTTACAGCTCATGGGCAGAGTGATTTGCTTTGAAGCACTCTGCTCTAGTGATCCAGGATCCGAGTTCTTCATTCACAACCTTTGCCACTCCATCAATGAAGTGACACATACTTGCCGTCGCACAGCCTCGGGTAGCAGCCTTTAGCGTAAAAATCCCTGTCGAAAACACACACACAAACATGTCTGTGGGCCATTCAGTCAGGCCAAACCAGATAGGTATGAAGTGGGGCTTGTGAGGGGTGTGGCCTAGAGAGAGGAGGTGTGGCTAAGGAGAATCCCAAAGGCCAGAGAGAGTGAGAGGGTCTTAGAGGGATGCCTGTGGCCCCTGGTCTCCATCCTGGCCCCTCAAAAATTAAGGTGCAATTTGATTGCAGTAAAAACCTCTAGGGGTTTACAAGAAATATTAACATTAGGTATAAAAGCATTTAAAACCATTAAAATATTTAAAACTCATTAGAATGAATAGCAAAAGGGAATGGAATGCATCCTGATCTACATGTCTGGATAGGTGTCTCTAAACAAAAATGTTTTATGGAGTTGCTAGGAAAAAATGGAATAAACAGCTACAGGTTTCCAGGCAGCAATTCATCAAGGTTTATTGATGGTCATGCAGTTTTCAGAACAGCACAATATGGAACACTAGTTCCATATGCATCTGGTGGTCACCAGTATGTTCCTGGCAGCTGTCCACCACCCTGGGTCACATCTAGACTTGCTAACAGAGCAGTCTTTTCTGCCGGCTCCACTTCAGGTTCCAGTGGAACCCTATGGTTCAGTTCTTAGTTCAAGTTCAAGTGATGGAGAATTAGGATTGTTCCAACTTGGTCTGGCTTTGGGGGGGTAACAGCAGCAGCCTGGGGCTGACTACAAGCTACCTAAGTTTTGTGAGTCACAAGAGCTCGTCTTGCTCAGCAGAGTAGCATTAACCATCCTCCCTTGGCTAAGCCTAATTCCCAGAGTGGTTTAACAATAAACCCCTTTCCCAAGAAAATTATGGAAATGATAGCTCTGTGTCCTGAAGACACCCAGGGCTCATCCATTCTTCTATTTGCTCTGCTGCTTTACCCTGGGGAAAACCCTGTGGTTCGGTGCAGAATTGGAACAAAAAGCAATTGGGTTTTCGCCTGCAGATTTCCTGGGAGGAAAGCAGTGGGGCAAGGCAAAACCAACCAGACCCATGTCTAGAAAGGATGTTGCACATGGAAAACAACTGGGAACTGTGCTTTCTAAGCATGGGAAAAGTGGAAGTGCAGGGAGAATCCAGAGGTTTCCAAAGATATGACTCTCTCTGGGTCTCCAGAGCTCTCCAGACTCTGAGGGAGGGTGGATGGATGGGAAGAAAAAGGGACGTCCTGCAAATCTTCTCCTGCCTCTTTCTCCTGCTTTGTATCTGGCTTCCTGGTCTCCTCCTCCTGACTCCCCTCTTCCACCACCGCCAGGAGCTGCCTCACAGGTAGCACAGAAGCCCACAAATCACTTGCTCCTCCGCCTGCCTCCTCTGCTCACACATCCCTCCTCCTTGGACTCCTGACTATCCCAGACACACTGTGAGGGTAACAGGGTCTCCTAATAACTTTCAGCACGCTTGCCAGCATGTTTTTTGGGGAAGCCATGACAGTTCATGGTGGCGTGATACTGCTTTCAATGCATAGGGCAGATGGGGCCCTAGCTGCACTCACTGATTGCAGAGACTCACCAACACCGATGCGACCCCCAAAGTAGAAACAGTGGTCCTCGTCATTTCTGCAGCTGACGGTTTTTGTGGATCGGCACTGATCTGCTCCGAAGTAGGCGCAACTTGGACACTTCAGCCCATTGAGCTCCCTCTTCTCAGGCTCAGGCACTGTAAAGCAATCACCACCCCACCCCAACCTTGCAGTTAGTTTGCAGCTTCAAACCACATCTTGCTGGGTGTGAGGGTTGGAATTGTGCTCTCCCTTCCAAGAGGGTTGTGTACCAGCTCCCAATACGTCTCCGAGCACAGTGCTCCAGCCTTGCTCCATTCCTTCTCGGCTACATTAAGGCATGGTGCAAGAGATTTCTGACTGGGGCCACATTCACAGCATACATTTCAAGCACAAGGATACTGCTTTAAGCAATTGGGCTTAGCACTGAGCACCATTGGAGGGCATTCTGAGAGACTAAGTGGTAGCCACAGAAACACACAAGATGGTCATGAAATTCTAGAAAATGGCCCTCTTTCTTAGAGAGGGGAAGAAAAAGAAAACTCTTAGCAGTTTCCTCCTTAAAAAATCTCTTCTGGAAAAAGATGTGCTTAGTTCTTGGTGACATTACGATTTCACCTAAGAAAAAATGGTAGCTAATAAAAGCTATTTTGTAGGGGTTGATTGCTAAACCTTAGCTCTGTGAGGTGGATTGTGTTTTTCCTACCAACTCTCATCGACCATACTCTCATCGACCATAACATCCTTCTGGACCGTCTTGAGGGGCTGGGAGCTGGGGGCACTGCCATACAGTGGTTCCGCTCCTTCCTCCTGGGCCGTGTTCAGAAAGTGGTGGTGGGGGATGAGTGTTCAGACCCCTGGGCTCTCACTTGTGGGGTGCCTCAGGGTTCTGTTCTCTCCCCCATGCTTTTCAACATTTACATGCAGCCGCTGGGAGAGATCATCAGGAGGTTTGGGCTGGGTGTTCATCAGTATGCGGATGATACCCAGCTCTACCTCTCTTTTAAATCAGAACCAGTGAAGGCGGTGAAGGTCCTGTGTGAGTGTCTGGAGGCAGTTGGAGGATGGATGGCGGCTAACAGATTGAGGTTGAATCCTGACAAGACAGAAGTACTGTTTTTGGGGGACAGGAGGCGGGCAGGTGTGGAGGATTCTCTGGTCCTGAATGGGGTGACTGTGCCCCTGAAGGACCAGGTGCGCAGCCTGGGAGTCATTTTGGACTCACAGCTGTCCATGGAGGCACAGGTCAAATCTGTGTCCAGGGCAGCTGTTTACCAGCTCCATCTGGTATGTAGGCTGAGACCCTATCTGCCTGCGGACTGTCTCGCCAGAGTGGTGCATGCTCTGGTTATCTCCCGCTTGGACTACTGCAATGCACTCTATGTGGGGCTACCTTTGAAGGTGACTCGGAAACTACAACTAATCCAGAATGCGGCAGCTAGACTGGTGACTGGGAGCGGCCGCCGAGACCATATAACACCGGTCTTGAAAGACCTACATTGGCTCCCAGTACATTTCCGAGCACAATTCAAAGTGTTGGTGCTGACCTTTAAAGCCCTAAATGGCCTCGGTCCAGTATACCTGAAGGAGCGTCTCCACCCCCATCGTTATGCCTGGACGCTGAGGTCCAGCGCCGAGGGCCTTCTGGCGGTTCCCTCATTGCGAGAAGCAAAGCTACAGGGAACCAGGCAGAGGGCCTTCTCGGTAGTGGCGCCCGCCCTGTGGAACGCCCTTCCAGCAGATGTCAAAGCGATAAACAACTACCTGACATTCAGAAGACATCTTAAGGCAGCCCTGTTCAGGGAAGTTTTTAACGTGTGATATTTTAGTGTATTTTTGGTTTCTATGGAAGCCGCCCAGAGTGGCTGGGGAGGCCCAGCCAGATGGGAGGGGTATAAATAATAAATTATTATTATTATTATTATTATTATTATTATCATCATCATCAGCACCCTTAACAAACTACCACTCCCATAATTCTTTGTAATGCTGTATACAACAGTATACACCAGGGTGGGGTGATTGCTAAAGGGAGGTACGTAGTCCTGTGTGTGTGGCAATCCCCCCCCTCCGCTTTGATGCACGTTTCCAGCCTCCAAGGTGGGCACTACTGTGTTGGTGGCAGCGGCAGCAGCAGAAGGCAAAGCATTCCTTGGAGGCTGACTCTGTGGATCCTGCTGCCTGAGGAGGTCATCTCACCTTACCTCATGGGTGGGGTGGCTCTGCAAGCAGACTAACTGCTTGCTTTCCCCTTCTTCCATAGGGCTAAAAGCGGCTTAGGACAACATCTTCAAATTGGGAAAATGGAACAAGAGGTGAGGGAAGGATTTGTGCAGGTGGCACTGGAGACCATGGTATCTAATATAGTTTTATTAGCATTTGCTTTAGAAGGATGCAAACCTGAAGAAATTAAATTCCTCACACAGAAACGGGAAAGGAGTCTGGGAAGCCAATGAGACAGTGTGATGTAGTGGTTAGAGGGTAGGACTAGAATCTGGCAAACCAGGGTTTAAATCCATGCTCAAGCCATGATGCTTGCTGGGGGACCTTATGCCAGCCACCATCTCTCAGCCTGACCTGTTTCACAGGGGGTTTTGAGTCTAAAATGGTGAGCTCTTTGGAGAAAAGGGTAAATATCCGAAGCTGCTGCAGCAGAGGGACTGTTGGCCTGGCCAATCCAGAGGCATCATACTGCCTCACCAGTCACACCTGAGGAGGCCTCAATATGTAGTTCAGCCCAGCCTAACTTCAAGCTTTGGGGTTCTCAGTTCAAATCCCAACCCAAGTTTCTGTCTCTAATTTGGAAAAGGACTGGAGGCAGGAGGGAGGGAGAGAGGCAGACTCTGCTGAGAGGCCTGCCTTTCACCTCCATGGTGTCCCCGCCTCTCTCCCTCTCCCCGAGGGGAAGGTGAGTTGCCTCTGCCCTGCCTGGAAATGGCTCCTGTCAGGCTTGGGTGGCAGTGATGTTGGTGGGGTCTGGGAAGGGGTCTTCCGAGCAGGGAGAGGGAAGTGAATGCACCTGGGGCGACCAGCCCTCTTGACCCCCCCCCCGCTGCTGCTACTTACTTTCGAGAGGTTCACTGTTGCACATATCTGTGTTGCAGCAGGAGGTCTTGATCAACATGTACATATCTGATGTTACAATGGCACTGGAATAGCCTGCATGGCAAAACTCTCCATTGACGCAGGACTTGAAAACAAATTTGCTCGCAGAACCAGCTATAGAAGAAAGAATTGGAAGGAAATAACTACACCTGGAGATACGGCTTGCCCACACAAGAGGAAAGAATCCACAGGGGCAGCCTCCAATGAAAGCATTGCAGGCTGCTGCCACCTTTGCAGCTTTGCTTTGGAGGCCAGACCTCCCTGGCAGACCCTCCAAATGGCGCATCTTGGCAATTAGGAGGTGCTGCTGGTCTCTCTTTTTTTTTAAAAAAAATAATATTTATTACTTTTCCAACAATTTAAACACTACAAAAAAATAAACAATACAATACAATACAAAAACAATACATAACACTAACACATTAAACTAACAAAACAAAACAAAAACAGTTTAAAACACATCAAACAGTTTCAATATCTTATCTTTCATTCACTTATTTCAATGACCTCCTCACACCTCCCTTTTTGTATTCCACTTCTGTTAATTGTTTCAGCAATTCCTTTCCATCTTCCTCTGCTTTCTATCCTTTAATTATCTTAACACATTCTAACCTTATTTTTCCCTTTAATACTCTATTAATCTATTTATACTTAATTCCTTATAACATTTCTACTAAAGCCATATAACTTCATTCCAACATTTTCCTAACATTCATTAATTTTACAGTATTTCTGTAAATAGTCTTTAAACTTTTTCCAGTCTTCTTCCACCGACTCTTCTCCCTGGTCTCGGATTCTGCCAGTCATTTCCGCCAATTCCATATAGTCCATCAACTTCATCTGCCATTCTTCCCGGGTGGGTAAATCTTGTGTCTTCCAATACTTTGCGATGAGTATTCTTGCTGCTGTTGTTGCATACATAAAAAAAAAATCTATCCTTCTTTGACACCAATTGGCCAACCATGCCCAGGAGAAAGGCCTCTGGTTTCTTCAGAAAGGTATATTTAAATACCTTTTTCATTTCGTTATAGATCATCTCCCAGAATGTCTTAATCTTTGGGCATGTCCACCAAAGGTGAAAGAATGTACCTTCAGTCTCATTACATTTCCAACATTTATTGTCGGGCAAATGATAAATTTTTGCAAGCTTGACTGGTGTCATGTACCACCTATAAATCATTTTCCTTAATTTTTCTCCTAGGACATTACATGCCGTAAATTTCATACCTGTGGTCCATAACTGTTCCCAGTCAGCCATCATTATGTTATGTCCAACATCTTGTGCCCATTTAATCATAACTGATTTCACCATTTCATCCTGAGTGTTCCATTTCAACAGCAAGTTATACATTCTTGACAAATTCTTGATTTTTGGATCTAACAATTCTGTTTCCAATTTCAATTTTGATTTTTCCACCTGGAAACCAACTTTTTTGTCCAGATTGTATGTGTCAGGGAACTGACATCAGAGCGGGAGGCGAAGGGGAGGCTCCTAGATGATGCTGGAGAAGGACCCAGCAGCAGGGGGAGAAGCAACTCAGTGGAGGGGGAAGCATTTAAGCGCAACACCAGGAACAAAAGTGAGCAGATGGGGAAATCGGAGAGAGGGCTCACGGACTCTTCACTGGAACTCAGTGAGGAGGGGACAGGTCCCCCGCTACCTACGCCCACCCTGCGCAGAAGGCTCCCGCGCAGTGAGAGGCGGAGGAGATTGGGTGTCAAACAACTCTTATGTTGGAAGAGATTCAAGAAACGCCCACTGACGGATTCTGCTAGTGACTGAGACAGTCATGATGAGAAAGGGCTGTGCAGTCAGAAAGGTTTAACAAGGCAAATTAGCCTAGAGAGGCACCAGTTTACGCACGAGTAACTCATACTCATCACAGTATGCCTCCATTATTTGATAATAATGGAGCCAATCTCGCACTCTATTTTTCAATTTTTCAAAGCTCTGCAATTTTAATCTGTCTCCATCTTGTTCCAGAAGTTCCCAATATTTCGGCCATTTGGCCTCCATATTGAGTTTTTTCTGTGCCTTCGCTTCCATTCGTGACAACCATCTTGGGGTTTTCTTTTCTAACAAATCCTTATACCTTATCCAGATATTAAACAATGCTTTTCTAAAAATATGATTTTTAAACGCTTTATGTACTTTTACCTTATCGTACCACAAGTATGCATGCCAACCGAATACATTATTGAAACCTTCTAGATCCAACACGTCAGTGCTTTCAAGAAGCAGCCATTCTCTCAGCCAGCAAAAAGCAGCTGATTCATAATAAAGTTTAAGGTCCGGCAGGGCAAATCCACCTCTTTCTTTGGCATCAGTTAGTATCTTAAATTTTATTTGAGGCTTCTTGCCCTGCCAAACAAATCTGGAAATATCTTTTTGCCACTTCTTGAAACAATCCATCTTAACCAAAATTTGCAATGTTTGAAACAAAAACAACATCCTTGGCAGCACATTCATTTTTATCACAGCAATTAGGCCTAACAATGATAACTTCAAATTTGTCCATATTTCTAAATCCTTTTTCACTTCAATCCAACATTTTCCATAATTATCCTTAAATAAATTCACATTTTTAGCAGTCATGTTAACCCCTAAATATTTCTCTTTATTAACCAATGTTAGTCCTGTTTCCTCCTGAAACTTCTCTCTCTCATACACAGTTAAGTTTTTCTCTAAAACCTTAGTTTTCATCTTGTTCAACTTAAAGCCTGCTACCTGTCCGAATTCTTGAATCAGTTCCAATACCCCTTTTAGTACTAGATTCTGGCTCCTGTAAAGTCAATACTAAATCATCAGCAAATGCTTTCAGTTTGTACTGTTTAGCTCCCACTTGTATACCTTTAACCTCTTGGTCCTTTCTGATCATATTTAACGAAACCTCAAGGACCGATATAAAGAGCAATGGAGAATTTGGGCAACCTTGTCGTGTCCCTTTCTCAATCTTAAACTCTTCTGTCACTACATTGTTCACAATTAATTTTGCCTTTTGTTCTGAATAAATTGCACCTATACCATTTTCAAAACCTTGACCTATCCCCATCCCCTGTAGATTCTTCTTCATAAAGCTCCAAGAAATGTTGTCAAAGGCTTTCTCTGCGTCCACAAATATCAAGACTGCCTTAGTATTGATATTCACTTGAAGTTTTTCTAGAATATTAATTATATTCATGTTGTCAGACAAATGTCTGCCTGGGAGAACGCCCGCTTGGTCTTTATGAATTTCTTCTACTAACACCTTTTTTAATCTTTTAGCCAAAATATCTGCAAAAATTTTGTAATCCACATTAAGCAGCAATATGGGGCGGTAGTTCTTGAGCTGTGTCTTTTCAGTCTCTGTTTTCGGTATAAGTGTAATGTAAGCTTCCTTCCACGACTCTGGTGCCTTTCTCCCTTCCAATATTTCATTACAGACTTCCTTCAATGGTTGTATTAACCATTCTTTCAAGGATCTGTAATATCTTGAAGTCAAACCATCTGGTCCTGGAGATTTGCCTAATTGCATGTTCTGGATGGCCCCTTCCACCTCCTGATCCGTTATTTTGTAATTCAACATTAGCTGTTTTTCCTGAGAGATTTTGTGTAGTCCATTTATTTTCAAAAATCGATCAATGTCCATTTCTTTCTGCTTCTCCTGTGTATAAAGTTGTTTGAAGGAGGTGCTGCTGGTCTCCTCCCAGCCTTGTTGCCAACATACATCTTATCCCCACATAAATCCAGTGTAGATCCCCATTCCCACCCCCTTGTTCCTGATGTAGATCTTCAGTTCCCCCTTCTTCCCTGCCTGGCCGGTGGGCAGCATTTCATGGTTCGCCTGAGGTGTCACAATATCTTGGGCTGGCCCAGCCTGGAGTGGAAAGAGAGACCTCCAGTTTTATCTATTTGTTGAATGTGAGGCAGGGATGGAAAACTTTTGAAAAGTCCTCATGAAAATTCACCAGCAGAGAATGCTGTTTCTATTCCAGTCAATACCAGTGATAGGAAGATAGGACACCTCAAGGAATGGCAAAAGGGTATTTCTAGATTCATCTGGCAGGGGAACAGGCCTAGAATAAAATATAAATTACACGACTGCACAACTGGATTGCAAAAATGGGAGAAGTGTGGAAGTGGAAGGAGGGCTTTGTTTTGCTTTGCATATCATTTTGGAAAGAGCCAAGTAGATAAACTGACTTGAATTTCCCTCTGTTTCCTACATGCAATACAGGATCTAGAACACTGCATTATGAAAAGCCACACCCTGTGGTTTGTAGCTAAGATATGGCCTAAGAAAGTGAGTCTGGGAATTTAAGTTTTGGTGGTCAAAAAGGCTGAAAGTTCTTCTCACTTACCCATTTTGGCATTTCCAATGCCAGATATGCAGAACCCATTGATGTCCATATTACACTCCTGAATGGGAGTTGTAATTCCCAACAGGGAGGTGTTTTTGCAGTCTTTTCCTTGACTCCAGCAAAACTCACATTTCAGAGATGCCACTGCAGACATGGGGAGATGGGTTTAGGAAGCCTTAGCACCATCCACATAGGGGAAATGGGTACATTAAAGTACATCAACACGACAGTTCCTCCTACAAAGTCCATCTCATGAGAGGCAGCGAAGGCCACCAACTTGGATGGCTTAAGAAAAGGAATAGATAAATTCAAGGGGGATAATAAGTCTGTTGCTGGCTTCCAGCCTCAAGAGATATTCTCTCTCTCTAACACTGTAGGCACTATTAGATCCTGCTTGCGAACTTCCCATAGGCATCTGGTTCACCATGGTGACAACAAGATAGTGGACCAAACGGGCCATTTTTCACTTATGCAGTGCTGTCTATATATATTTCCCCTGTAGTTCTTAAGCTGTGTGTGAATGGGGGCTGAGTCTTGGAGAGACCAGAGAATGATTGTCCTAGGTGGCTCCTGCAGTCTGAGAGAGAGAGGACCTGTAGGGCAGGTGTGAGGAAACCTTTGACACTCCACAAGTAGCTGAACTACAACTCCCATCAGCTCCAGAAAGCACGACCAATGGCTCTGGATGATGGGCACTGGAGTTTGTCAACGATGCTCCACATGTGCACTAGCAGAACTTAAAAGGAACGGTCCATCATTTGAGAAGTGGTGAGGAGATAAAACCTCATGGAGGAGGTGCGGGGGCCTAAGCTTTAATGTGTGAGTACCTGAAGGATGAGTTTCAACATATTGCCTATTGAATTGAAAATGAATTATGGGCAAGCAGCTCAGTGGAACTGGAATAACTACTTCGACTTGTCTTTAGTCTGTGTCAAGCCAACCTGAGGAGTTCAGTAATGCATTTTGTATCACCAGGACACCCCTGAGTGGAGAAAAACCTCCTATTGTCGACATAACACTCTGCATATGTTTATCTGGAATCTTTCTCTTTCTTACTCTCTTTTTCTCACTCTTATACAGACTCACCAATATGGACCTGAATCTGCCCTTCACTTATAACTAATTACGCACTGGAAAGTGGAAGGGATGGCGGTGAAGGGAAGAAATTGAGGTTAATAGACACAGCACTGATAGCAGCAAAGGATGAGAGTAATCCTGGGATTAATAAGGTGAGTGATTTGAGGCAGTGGCAGAGGACAGAGGTGGGGCACCTACAGCAAATATTTTGGGGGTGTCAAGGCCCCCAGGGCCCCCTAGAGTTGGTGCCACTGTCAGTAGAGGTAGCTGGATGGGGTCGTTGGGGGAACAAAAGGCTGATGATAGTCAGTCATTAACTCATTAAGAAGGCCATTAAGGGAAACTCTTTGGGCTGGACAGAAAATGGGGAAAACACCTAGCTGAAGTGAGCGAGAGACAAAAGGACAGAGTTTCAGAAGGTAGGGGCAGAATTTGAGTGGATGATGAGGTAAACAAACTGGAAAAAAGTGGGAAAAACATACCCTTTGTTGTGGATGAAAGCTAGATTTCTGGTTTATCTAGGAGTGGATAACTGCTTCCCAATGGAATTGGGGATACCACAACTGTCAGTATGTATTTGTTTAAATAAAAATAAATATTGAGAACAGACAATGTATGATTGAGGATCCCTTGTATCTTGACCATATGCTTTATTACTCTCCCTTCCAAAGGAACCACAAGTCCTGGTTCCTTCCTTCTCCTGCTTTAATGGCTGACCCCCCACTTAGTTCCTTCCTGGAAACATGATGAAGAGCACAGCAGCTGTGGTTCTGCTCACCTGGAGGAAGAAGGGCCAAGAGGAAGCAGGAGATCAGTAGTGTTTTCATCATTCTATAAAGCTGAAGAGCCACGAAGGAGTTTGAGAACAGCACTGGGCCAAGCAAGGAACTGATGCATGAAGAGGCTTAGTTGGAGGAATTTATAGAAGATTGCAAGAAGCACTTTGCCAGCATCCAGGAACAATGGGTCCAGGACAATGCCATAAATTGCTAGAATTCTAATTGTGCTATACCCTAGCACAGTGTTGAAAACAAATTAAATATCTTCCCCCTTCCAATTTCACTGAAGCCAGGAGAGCGAGAGGGGTCAGTGCACACCAATCCCTTTTGCTCTCCTGGCTTCGCTTTGCTGAAGAGGCGCTGCACAGCTTTCCCTCTCTGCGCCGCGCCCCTTCAGCAAAGCGGGAGGAGAAATGGAAAGGGCTCCGCTTCTCCTGCCGCTTCGCTGAAGGGGCGCTGTGCAGAGATGGAGAGAACATTTTTTTTCTTGTTCTCCTGTTCTAAAACTAGGTGCGTCTTATGGTCGGGTGCGTCTTATAGAGCGAAAAATACTGTATCTTCCCCCTTCCAAGTACTCCAATATCACGTCCCTCCTAATCTGTGCCAGCCTCAATTTCACATCCCTACTAATCTAGATTCTATTATCTGAGACAGTCAGACAGACATGCAGGCAGGGAGAGAGAGAGAGAGAGAGAGAGAGAGAGAGAGAGAGAGAGAGAGAGAGAGAGATTGCTTGTGCTTTTGTAATTCAAGAAAATCATCAATAATTTTTTTAAAAACAAACAAACAGCTGCAGACCCAAGCTTGGGAAACACTGGCCTAGAGGACCACAGCTTCTCATTCCTGCTATAGGAGCTCTTTAAAATCTGCTTGGATTTTTATCATCATGAAGAAGAGCAAAAACCCCATCAAACTTGGCCAGCTCATCAACATTTTTGCACCTGCGAAACATTGGTAGAATTAAAACGACACACACACACACATGCCAATGATTGCAATAAAAACATCATGGCACCAGCTCTTCATTTAAGGTAGTCAGTTCCCAAAAGCCCATTGGAACAAGAAAGTCTTCACCTGCCATGAAACATGCAGTGCTCTGCCATTGTACTTTCTTTTTTTGGATAACGTTTTATTAATTTTCGAAAAATAACAAAATGAAAAAACCCCAGAAAAAAAAAATCATAACCAAATAAAACCATAATTTTTCGTCGATTTCCCTCCACTCCCCCTTTTGGTTCCAATACTGTATACTTGTTCATTCACGTCCATAAAATCTTATATACTTAACAATCCAATTTTAAAACCTTCTTCATCTTCTTACAAGTGACTTTTAGAAATTATACCAGGGGTCAGCAAACTATGGCCTGGGGGCCGGATGCGGCCCCCCAGGCTCATAGATCTGGCCCGCAAACACTGCCACCCGCTCGGTCGGTCCCCACCCACTGAGGATGCCTTGCCACACGGGGACTGACTTTCGCAATGCTGGCACGGCTTCTGGGTTGGTGGTGACACTGGCGCAGCTTCGAACTGGCTTCAGGAAGCTCCTGTTGCCAATCCAAAGCTGCGGATGGCTCTGGGCAGGTGGCGATGCTGGCACAGCTTTGGATTGGCTGCAGGAACTTCCTGCAGCCAATCTGAAGCCTTGCTGCCCACATGCTGAAGTAAAACCAGCGCAGCCATGGATGGAGAGGCAGGCTGTGGGCCTGGGCCATGGGCATCATGACGGGCGTGTCGCGTGGCTTCAGCTGGAGCTTGGCGTGCCTGCTGGCCCTGCGCCTGATGCCCCACTTGGCCTGGCTGCTGGTGGCGTGCTCTGTGGCCATGCTAGAGCAGCTGGAGGGCGAGCTGCGTGCCGCTTGCCCAGCGTTCTGTGTGTGCGGCTTGCCCGCGAAGACGAGCTTCTGAGCATGTGCAGAGTGCGTTCCTCTTCCAGGTCCAGAGGCAGCTGTGGGACTGGCTTGCAGGGTATTTAAATTTTTCAAAAGGTCTGAGGGACAGTGGACTGGTCCCCTGATGAAAACGCTTGCTGACCCCTGAGTTATACTAATGTAAAGATCTATGCACAAAGTTTAAAAACTATACATTAAACAATTGCTGTTTTTTGTAATATATTGTCCTGCACAGTTCAGTAGTTTATTTTGCCAATCTTCTTCTTTTTCTTCTTCTTTATCTTCTTTGGCCAGGGCTTCTTCCTTCCATCAGTCTTGGCCTGGCATCCAATCTAGCATGTTGGAACAAAGTCTTTCACTCAAACAATCCATCAAGTCCTGTACACCTCAATATAACTTCATTTTTTTAAAAAACAACAATCATTTCCCACATTTTCTTCAAATCTTTATATGTCTTTCCCCAGGCATTTTTGATAATTTTACATTGCCACCACATAAGGTAGCCTCTTAAATATTTTGCCCTTCCTTTTCGTTTCTTCTCTAATGCAGTCAAAACCTCTCAAATAATTTCACACGAGGTACCATCTTTATCAGTCAGGTCCTCCCATATCATTACACGTGCAATTTCATTTTTGTCTTTGACTATTCTTACTTGCCCTTGAATTTTCCTCAGACCTCGTTTGTCTACCAGTCCCACCTTGGTGGTTTGTGCATTCACCTCTTTTAATGGCCTCGCAGCCTCTAAAAGTATATAGTCATACCTAGGGATAAATACGCTTCAGGGTGAGTGCTTTCAGGTTGCGCTCCGCGGCGACCCAGGAGTAACAAAGTAACGGAGTGCATTACTTCCGGGTTTTGCCGCTCGCGCATGCGTAGATGGTCAAAATGACATCACGCGCATGCGCGAAAGTGGCGAAACGCGACCCGCGCACGTGCAGATACGCTGTTGTGTCTTATGTTCTGTTCAGGATGCAAACGGGGCTCCGGAATGGAGTCCATTCACATTCTGAGGTACCACTGTACTGGTATTTTTTTAGAGGCTGCATTGTTAACATCTTTTATCTGCTCAAATTCTATTTTAATATCTAAAAGTGAATCAAACAATTCATATTTTAAATTATCTTGCCTTGTGGCCTGACTAGTTAGTTTTAGCACTGAACTTTTTCCTTTTGCCGTTTCCAGTTTAGATTGACCGGGGGGTGGGCACTTCTCTCTCCTTTTCCCAGCTTCCTCTATAGAGTTTAATTCCAAAACACAGAGTTCTTTCCCACCACAGCATGTATTCTTTTTAGTTTTATCAGTACTTTATCAAGGTCATAGACTCAGTAGAGCAGGCATTCCCAGCCTGCGGCCCTCCAGATATTTTGGCCTACAACTCCCATGATCCCAAGCTTGCAGGACCAATGGTC